GTATTTATAGCGAAACGGCAAAATCTTCATCTTCATCTTTTACCATGGATAACCTTCCATTTGAATATGGATGGAACACTTATTGGCAACAAGCATATTGTTGCTATATCGGTTAACTGTGTTGAAGATGGTTCTGATTACCCATTACCAAAAGCTTAGTACCAGTCGGACTATTTGAGTTTCCCAAAGAGTCATGTGAATTATATCGAAAAATTCTGCTGCGTTTCCCGATAGTTTGGAAAGCGTTAAATATGTGCGTTTAAATCAGAAAGACATCCCTGTCAAAATAAAACTCGGAGGAGATTTTATGAATGCCGTTTATGTCTTTGGATTAGCAGGCGTTCTATCGAATTTCCGTTGTATATTTTGTGAATAAGTTACAACAACCGGAAGGAAGCGAGAACCTTAGTGGAGCAAAAACTGTGTTTAAATAAGAAAGGAGAAAAAACAGTAAAGGATATAAGTGTGAGCCGTTATTTCTAGACCTGTTTGAGTTTAGCGACTATATAATGAATATCTTGCATATGAAGTTGAGAGTGTATGATGTTTTTATGACTGATATACTGCATTATGCATCTAAACGCGAAAAATATGGAAAAGAACATACTGGTATACCGACATTTAGGCGCAACGATAGTTGAAGTTCAAAGATGCCGGTGTAGGTGTGGGTAAGTGTGAATATCGATGAAGATTAAAGAAACGGTGGTTACAGTTGGATATGAGTAATAGAAAAAGTTCTCACAGCATAAAAAGTTTGTTTAAGGAGAATTTTATCGTTTTGCAGCATACTTTAACAAATGCACTACTTCTGTTTGCTTTTGGCGTAAATGCGCCCAATGTCGTTGCGCCCAAATGTTGTGCGCCCGAATGTCGCGCGCGCCCAAACGGCGGCGCCCCAATATCTGGTAATCGAACATGCTCTACAGATGGAGGAAAAAGTACAGATCTTAAACGAACATGTAAAGATACTCATTGGAAAAAGAGGTTTTTTTTCGTTTGACTCAAAAGAACAACTAATAAAGCTTCATGGTAGATTTTCTGGACACTTACAGGATTTGTTTTTTCCCTATGGAAAACTGTTAGATAGAAAGCTGTAGTTGATGCTAAAAAGTTAGTGGAAGATTTTCGCGAAATACTTGATTTTCTGAACGTGGATCTATTAAAAGGCAGGAAAAATCTAAAAACAGTTTGCATTGAGTTTCTTCAAAGGTTCAGTGCTGCATGTTTGTGAAGTAACGTAACCCGTTAATATATTGTATCTTTCTCATCTATTTTGTCATTCTATTCCATCTCATATCTCAGCTTAATTTATACGTTACGTGCTTTCTTTTTACATAAAATCATCTGATATTATAATTCCTCAGCTCTTGGACAATATTCCTCAGCGCTTGGAGCAACTAAAATTTGACAGTGAAGCTCCTCCAAGTACTATAACGCGGACAGTTATTGTGTAAGCTATTGAAGTCGTCTAAACTCGATTTAAATTCCTTTAATGGAAGCGAAAAGCTTGCAAAAAAATGAGTGAGTTATGAGCGATTGATATGAAAATTTAATTTTCTTCGTATTGAAATTTGCTTCTATGCCTCACCATTTGAACCGAAAAACCAAATATTATTTTAAAAAAAATAAAAACAAAATTCACACTCTGTCAGATGTCATCATTCTTCCTTCCTCATGACGCGATCCTAAACTCTGTATAAATCTGACCCAAAACTTTCGTTTTCATATGGTCAACCCAAAAACCAAACGGCAAGGCAGAGCAGACAAAAGTCTTTGGATAAAAGTACAAAGATGACTTCTTTTCAAACATTCTACCAGCCATCTTTTTAAAATAAAATGTTTAGATGACTGCGCAAGGGTACTTCCGCACAGGTCCGCCCACTTTATACACGACTTAAAGCCGGGAAGGCCTGATTATATGCAATAGATAGTCCTACTAAGGGTATGCAAAGGCCTCTGCCGCCGCACAGAAAAATTATTCCGAATACGGTTTTTCCTCGGCCATAAGTTCTGAATTGACGCGTTTTTAGGGGTGCCAGAAGAGCGAAATCTGACCTTATCTGGTCCTATCAAGCGTTCTCATACTACTAGCTGGAAAGAGCATACAAAGTTGCATATTTCTATCCGCAAATGAGATTTTCACTTCTGACATTAGGAAAGAATTTTTGACTGGAGGACCTTAACTGCATTAGCAGATATCACTCGTTTTATAGCGCGCTGGACGAGCTCAAAACTCAACAAAACATAACTTTATTTATATTCAAATGAAAACGGCTTCCAAGTTTGTTCATATGACGCAACAATGAAGTCTCTAGTACTTTTTACTTCTTTATGGTAAGCGTAGCCGTGAGACCTACTTTGGCCCTTCCCGGTCTCCACCCTCGAAAACTACCCGTTGGTTCTTCGAGATCTTGTTAGTCCACACACTACTCGACTAGTGCTACAAAAGGCGCAAGGTATTGACTCTGGCCAGATGGTGTTTCTTGTGACGATTTTCCAGAAATCCTATCATCTGACTACGGTCCGGAACGGAAAAAAGTACTAAATTACTCATAAAATGACATGCTGCATCCGAATTTCGACTTAGTTCGGAGTCAATATGTATTAGTAACTGAGGATTTTGACGAGATTTCTGGGAAACCGTCACAAGAAACACCATCTGGCCAGAGTCAATACCTTGCGCCTTTTGTAGCACTAGTCGAGTAGTGTGTGGACTAACAAGATCTCGAAGAACCAACGGGTAGTTTTCGAGGGTGGAGACCGGGAAGGGCCAAAGTAGGTCTCACGGCTACGCTTACCATAAAGAAGTAAAAAGTACTAGAGACTTCATTGTTGCGTCATATGAACAAACTTGGAAGCCGTTTTCATTTGAATATAAATAAAGTTATGTTTTGTTGAGTTTTGAGCTCGTCCAGCGCGCTATAAAACGAGTGATATCTGCTAATGCAGTTAAGGTCCTCCAGTCAAAAATTCTTTCCTAATGTCAGAAGTGAAAATCTCATTTGCGGATAGAAATATGCAACTTTGTATGCTCTTTCCAGCTAGTAGTATGAGAACGCTTGATAGGACCAGATAAGGTCAGATTTCGCTCTTCTGGCACCCCTAAAAACGCGTCAATTCAGAACTTATGGCCGAGGAAAAACCGTATTCGGAATAATTTTTCTGTGCGGCGGCAGAGGCCTTTGCATACCCTTAGTAGGACTATCTATTGCATATAATCAGGCCTTCCCGGCTTTAAGTCGTGTATAAAGTGGGCGGACCTGTGCGGAAGTACCCTTGCGCAGTCATCTAAACATTTTATTTTAAAAAGATGGCTGGTAGAATGTTTGAAAAGAAGTCATCTTTGTACTTTTATCCAAAGACTTTTGTCTGCTCTGCCTTGCCGTTTGGTTTTTGGGTTGACCATATGAAAACGAAAGTTTTGGGTCAGATTTATACAGAGTTTAGGATCGCGTCATGAGGAAGGAAGAATGATGACATCTGACAGAGTGTGAATTTTGTTTTTATTTTTTTTAAAATAATATTTGGTTTTTCGGTTCAAATGGTGAGGCATAGAAGCAAATTTCAATACGAAGAAAATTAAATTTTCATATCAATCGCTCATAACTCACTCATTTTTTTGCAAGCTTTTCGCTTCCATTAAAGGAATTTAAATCGAGTTTAGACGACTTCAATAGCTTACACAATAACTGTCCGCGTTATAGTACTTGGAGGAGCTTCACTGTCAAATTTTAGTTGCTCCAAGCGCTGAGGAATATTGTCCAAGAGCTGAGGAATTATAATATCAGATGATTTTATGTAAAAAGAAAGCACGTAACGTATAAATTAAGCTGAGATATGAGATGGAATAGAATGACAAAATAGATGAGAAAGATACAATATATTAACGGGTTACGTTACTTCACAAACATGCAGCACTGAACCTTTGAAGAAACTCAATGCAAACTGTTTTTAGATTTTTCCTGCCTTTTAATAGATCCACGTTCAGAAAATCAAGTATTTCGCGAAAATCTTCCACTAACTTTTTAGCATCAACTACAGCTTTCTATCTAACAGTTTTCCATAGGGAAAAAACAAATCCTGTAAGTGTCCAGAAAATCTACCATGAAGCTTTATTAGTTGTTCTTTTGAGTCAAACGAAAAAAAACCTCTTTTTCCAATGAGTATCTTTACATGTTCGTTTAAGATCTGTACTTTTTCCTCCATCTGTAGAGCATGTTCGATTACCAGATATTGGGGCGCCGCCGTTTGGGCGCGCGCGACATTCGGGCGCACAACATTTGGGCGCAACGACATTGGGCGCATTTACGCCAAAAGCAAACAGAAGTAGTGCATTTGTTAAAGTATGCTGCAAAACGATAAAATTCTCCTTAAACAAACTTTTTATGCTGTGAGAACTTTTTCTATTACTCATATCCAACTGTAACCACCGTTTCTTTAATCTTCATCGATATTCACACTTACCCACACCTACACCGGCATCTTTGAACTTCAACTATCGTTGCGCCTAAATGTCGGTATACCAGTATGTTCTTTTCCATATTTTTCGCGTTTAGATGCATAATGCAGTATATCAGTCATAAAAACATCATACACTCTCAACTTCATATGCAAGATATTCATTATATAGTCGCTAAACTCAAACAGGTCTAGAAATAACGGCTCACACTTATATCCTTTACTGTTTTTTCTCCTTTCTTATTTAAACACAGTTTTTGCTCCACTAAGGTTCTCGCTTCCTTCCGGTTGTTGTAACTTATTCACAAAATATACAACGGAAATTCGATAGAACGCCTGCTAATCCAAAGACATAAACGGCATTCATAAAATCTCCTCCGAGTTTTATTTTGACAGGGATGTCTTTCTGATTTAAACGCACATATTTAACGCTTTCCAAACTATCGGGAAACGCAGCAGAATTTTTCGATATAATTCACATGACTCTTTGGGAAACTCAAATAGTCCGACTGGTACTAAGCTTTTGGTAATGGGTAATCAGAACCATCTTCAACACAGTTAACCGATATAGCAACAATATGCTTGTTGCCAATAAGTGTTCCATCCATATTCAAATGGAAGGTTATCCATGGTAAAAGATGAAGATGAAGATTTTGCCGTTTCGCTATAAATAC